AAGCTATGGTTTGAGTCAAAATTTTCGTGATAGACCGGTCGGTTGAATGTAAAAAGATGTATGATCAGTACATGCCCTTAGACTTCAATCGTACCTCTGTAAGCCGGAACTCCAAGGTTGAGTCCCTATCTGTAATGAGCTAACCTAAGTTTCCATCCGTTAGAACTCTATCATTTTATAAAAGAGTACCAGCAACATCTATTTGAATTCTGTAAAGTAACTCACGAACCAATTGAGAGTTACTTATATGAGAAATTCTGACCCGACTCTAGAAATGAAATTGGGATATGTTATCGCTCTATGAGCCTAATTTTGTAACCAAGGCTGAATTGTTTCCACAAGGATATTTCCGTTCTGATTCTTTTATTGGAATGAGGGAGAGTTCTGATGAGAATGTATACTCAACTGGTTAAGGATTAGTGGAGGATTCGTACTTCTTTAAAAGCTACTTGAAGATATGATAGAATTGATTGAAATTTTATTTCTGCAATTCTGTGACATTAATGAATTTCGAGGACGAAATTCTTTTAAGGAGGGGAGAATTGTCACACCCCAATATGGGGTTAGATTTCTTAAATTTAAAATATGGAAAATGAATAAACACAAGTGGGAAGATTTGTTCAACCACTTCAATTATTATTATTTTTATAATATGGAAAATGGAGAACCATATGTTTGAAAGGTATTTTTGGGATGACTTGGTTTTAAATCAGATAAATTGGAAGCTGTTGAAGACGACTAGTATTTTTCTTTGACTGGCTTTGTGAAAACTTTTGATTGAGTTTTTTTTATTTGCACCAGAATGATGAAATCATATTCCATTTTCGTTCTCATTGTATTTTTCTTAGCTTCATTTCTTAGATCATCATCTTCTTTTACTCCTATGCACCATTTCCATGGAATTTCTCCTAAAGATTTGAATTACTACAAATCATCATCGGATATCATTAAATGCAAAGACGGGTCCGGGAAATTATCCAAATCTCAGCTCAATGATGATTTATGCGATTGTCCTGACGGTACAGATGAACCTGGTACATCCGCCTGTCGGCTGCAAAATTCTACTGTCAAAATGTTGGACATGTTTCGCAATTCTTGTTTTCCTCTGGAGTCATGATGTCATCTGCTATTGTTGTGATGAGAGTGATGAGTATGATGGTAAAGTGAAGTGCCCCAATACGTGTTGGGAGGCTGGTAAAGTGGCTAGAGTTATGTTGATGGAAAACAAAATCAGTACTTATAAGGAGGGGATTACGTTGAGAGAGCAGGAAATTGAAGTGATAAAGAAGATATAGCTAAAGATGAAGTAGAACTAGCAAAGCTTAAAAACGAGGAGAAATCATTGAAGGACATTGTTGAACAGCTTAAAGAGTTTTTCTCGGCGAAGAACAAAAGGCAGTAGGAGGAGATGATGGATGATAAGCTTATAAACTCTATACACTCCATAATTTTCAAAGATTCGGATTCCCTTGAAGGGACTTTTACTAGAATTGAAGGTTATGATTTCAACCATGGTGTAAACTACTCAAGACTTCTCAAATCCATGCTCTCCATCGGCTTTCTCCTTGTCCTAGTTGGTTTAGTGCTTATCATTTGGATATCTCAACCAAGGTTTGAGAGCTGATAATGGGAAAATAATAAATAAATATAAATGAGTTTAGCGAGCACGTGGGTTTGAAAATGTTGATATGAAGAAAGGGCTAATCATAGCTTCAGTCCTCTATTTCGGTAAGATTCAAACTTTGTCACCTAGTTTTAGTATATTTTCAACCATGCTTTGATAGTTTAGATTAGTTTGCTTTAGCCCTGATTTTAGTAATTAAATATTCTAATAGCATCGTCAATTTTTAGTTTTACCATTTGGCTTCCCAAATTGTTTTTTTAGATTCTAATAAGTTAATTTTTATGGTGACTAAAATTTATTTGGATTCAAATTCAAAATTTAGAGGGTTTCGGATTGTGAGAGAAAGATTGGAAGCTCGAAAGTCAAAATTTTTGAAAAGTCATATTATATGTTTTTCGACGTTCTGAGTTCGATTCCGAAGTCTGTTTCGCCAAATTCAAACCCGGTAAGTTGGTTTTCACTGATTAATCATCCGATTCGACATGTTTTTCAGAATTAAGCTCCGTTTTATGGAATTTATATTGTTATGTATCTGAGGAATTATTGAAAGATGATTTCAAGATCGAGGGCGTTCGAATGGAATTTAATGGTTGATCAGTATTGTACGGAAATCAAGGTAATACATTACTACCTTTTCATGTTTTATGGAACATGTTGGTATTGGTAAATGCATGAATGGAAATGTTTGGTCTCATATGTGTAATTAATGAAGTTTTACACACGATTCGAATACAGTAAAAATTTGGTAAATGAATATGGCTCAGATGACTGATATAAGAAATAGATTGATTGTTAGAATTAAATTATGAGTTATGTGATTAGTGATAAAGGTATTATCATGGATTTGTAGCTTATAATCAAAGGTTAAATGTTAAAGGTACTTGGATGAGAACTTATGAGAATACTCTAGTAGGGTAAAATTTCAAAAATACCCTTATGTTGTAAGATGACAATAATTGTTCTTGGAAGTTGGTTAATAACCTTGAAAAGACATATTGATCCGATAAAATTATAGATGTGCAAAAGAAATGCTAGTTTTTCTTAGGAAATTTGGATAACTGGTTTTTAACCCCAAAAGGGTTTGTATAAGATACTAGAAGTCTGTTAAGAAACCATTTCGAGATCAAAGAATGTTCGGGAAAGAAATTAACCATTGGATCTCTAAAGTATAATTATTTTCGTTAAGAGTTAATACCAAAATTATATTATTAAGAAATTACGAAAATGCCCTTGAGAGGTGAAAATAGTCCAAGTTAACTCTGAATGAGGAAGTAACATGAGAATTTGTTTTTAAATCGATAAATTACTGATTTGATTGTTGAGATCCTATTTTTGTATGGAAAATTCCTGATAATCCGTTAGTAACATCTGAGAAGACATTTAACCTGGAAATCTCCGACTTGAGTAAGTACATGAAGAATAATAATTTATCGATGGTGATATTTTGTTGGAATAGTTCGAAGGGATTGACATAAATGATAAGTTTGAATTAAATAATAAGACCGGACAGAAGGAAATGATTGAAATATTCTAATTTTGTGAGATGACCAAAATACCCCTATAATGGAAATGATTAAAGAATATCACCAAGCCAAGAATGAATGGATAACCTCAAGCTTGGAAATGAATGGAAGATCATTGAGCATAAAAAAAACCAAAATACCCTTATGTCCTAGACTAAGTAAATGTCTTGGATTATTTAAGAAATTCAAATAAACATGGATATCGTACAGCTCTTAAAGATTATGGAACACAACTTAAGCCGGTTAAACAATGCTAGTGTTATATCAGTACTTGAATGACATAGGTACCACTTGAATACTAGTTCATCTCCCCAAGTTTGGATTGATGATAATTATGGAAATACTCAGCTCAGCTCAACGCTAGAGTGCATTCGATATTAAGAAGTGGATATTCGTGAGATAAATCAATCACGAATACCAAAACGATTTTAGTATACGACCAAAGTGAACTGGATGGAAGTACATGTATCCGAAACTCAGAAGTGTCTGAATTACTCTGGAAAACTCTGAAGTAACCGAGATAGCATTAATTATTAAGTGAACCAAGGAACCTTAATGACGGAGAATTTAGTAAGTAATTGGATGAGTTTGGAAATACAATAACTTGTATGATGTACAGTCCCTATGGTTATGAACTAAGAATCAAATACGTCATCAATTCTTGATATTGTAGTAATGTGGAAAGAAAATAAAGATTATAAGGATGTATGTTCGATTCTTTAAGGTATATTTAGCGATGATTCTGAAGATGACTTATGGACAAGAATTGTTGGTATTATAGAGTGAATACCAGGAAGGGCAATGAATTGATCAGTCGACAGGCATTAGTTCTGAGAGTTGTTCAACTCAAATTGTTCGATAATTCGATCGATTGTCATGGATGGTAATTGCCTGAATATTTGTTTCTTCTTTTTCGACTCAAATCACTCCGGTTATTCCTGATACACCTGAATCATAGTGGGAGTCTAAAGTATCGTTTTAAATGTATGATTTGAACGACTAGTAATTGACACATTTTTAATCAAAAGACATCAGTTTCATGTTATCTATGTTGATAACTGCAAAATGCCTCTGATAAGTACTAGGATTTCTCTAGTGTGTTCCTTATTTTTTTAATAAATTGTTTTGTTGTTTTAACATGAGGTACACTGAAATATATGATTATTGTTTTATGGATGCACCTACTTAATGGTGATGGCTTATGGATTTGTATCACGGTATAAATTGTATCTTGGAGATAAATAGATGTGTATTATTGATCGATGCATATGTTTAAGCTTATATCTATTATTTGTATAATATGATAAAATAGATATCTATTATTGAACTTATAAAATTCAACATTTGAATTATATTTTCGTTCGTATACTAATAGATTTATAGTTGTATACAAGAAGCATTAGTGAAAGGATATTCAACAATTCCTATTAGAGTACAATTCTTATTTTTTTAGTGGATATTTGCATTCTTAGAAAATTACTAATATAAGTTTGTAATTCTGTTATCCATACTTTTATTTTGTGTAACAATACTAATTATACTTAATTTAATATAAGTATAAAATTTTATTTCAACATTATAAATTAATAAGAATACATAATCTATCGTAATAAATTAAAGAATCTTTATGTAAAATTTAATAATATAATGAAGCGAAAATTTTATTTTCCTTCGATTCAAAAATTTATTTCATATCATACTATTTAATATATGCTATTATTTGACCATAAAGTTCTTATAAACCACATCATTAGGAATTACAAACTCCGTTTGAAACTCAAACTTCCTCATACTCTCTCACTCACTCTAATATGTATTTAAACCGAAATTAGGCACACATAGATCAGCTTTATTTAACTACCAAATGGAGGAGGCCTTGGCATGCCTTCCACGACGCTGCAAGTCATTACGTCGTCAGGCAAGTTGTATTCGTCCCTCATGGAACATTTAGGGGAAAGAAGACTAATGTAAAGCTGTTGTCCAAGGTAATGCATGTCCCATTTCTCGGACCTTATGTTCCACATTCTGCAGTTGTCGAGAGAGACAAGGACAACAACCCATGAATGTGGGAATACCTGAATGGTGTGCCTGCTCACCGCTTTTAGAAGATTATAGTTCATCCTCTTTTCTGAACTCCATTTTCCTATCTCTACGCTGCATACAATCATTATAAAAACAAGTCATTGTTCATTTCAAATGATTATGTTAAAAGCAACAGTCTTAGTTAGATTAATTAGTGGTTCCAATCCAACAGTGCTTACGCCACATCGATGAATGCATAGCCATCGACATGCCAAGATTGAATGGCCATTTCACGATTCTGGAATATAATTTCCACAAAGCTTTTATGTGTCATGTTGAGGACAATAGGTTCTAGAGCTACTTTTGAGATCTCAGCTGGTGGCTCATCTAGAATATTATTATACTTGAAAACCTTGTCTGCAACTCCGTAGTATTCCGCAAGTTTCAAAGGAGTGGCTGACTCCACAAAGGACACTCCATTAATTGCATATCGAAGCTTTCCATCTACCTTCTCACCAGTGTTAGCTAGCGTGATGGTACGGGTAATGTTAATGCCACCATATTTGTAGGATCACTGAGTGTAAGGCCTTGCAGCACTTGCAGTAAGGTTCCATCGGAACCAACGAAATTGATTGAGTGACCAAGCCCATCCAACTGGTGGCTTTGGAATATCATATAAGTGTAACACCCTAATTTAGGGGCTAAAAATTTAGAAATTATAAAGTATTGGATTTAATTTGGTATTTTGGAAGAAATTAAGGATTAAATTGTAAAATCGTAAAGTTATGAGACCATTTTAAGAAGTGCAGGAAATTCAGTGACTAAATTCATGAATTACCCATTTTTATTTTGGAGAGAATTATAAACCCCTATTTCCCGTATGTTTTTGCAGATTTTCCTAGTTTTCCCTTCCCCTTTGACCCTCCTTTAATCTCCGATTTACTCACCGTCCAGTCATCGTTTGACGAACCGTAACCACCATCGTGTTCGTTGTCGAAAGATGAACAAAATCCCTCAAACCTCTCGTCGTGAATCGACGTCGTTCGTCGTTAATTTCAGTCTGAAGTATCGTCGGTTTAAACTCAATTTCTGTTGGTTTTCTGTCGATTCACGTCAATCCGACCATCCGTTTTCGACACCTCCCGCACCATCATGTTCCTTGCATCGTTCCGAGTCTACCGGTGTCCTCCATTTCTTCGTTGTCGCCGGTAAGTGGAGGGGTAAGAAATGACCTCGTTGACCGTTGACCGGCGTTGACTGGCCATTGAACGGTCGTTGACTTTTTCCAGGTATACCCATCCTGACGTTTTTCAACGCTCTGAATCCGTTTTTAAGGTCCATTTCACCAAATTCGAACCCGATAAGCCTTTTTCACTGATTTATCATCCGATTCGATCCGTTTTTCGTAATTAAGCCCCGTTTTTTGATGAAATTTCTATTGTTATGTATTTGAGGAATTATTAGAAGTTGAATTAAAGATCGAGGGCATTCGAATGAAATTTTTATGGTCGATCAGTATGGCACGAAAATTGAGATAATACATTACTACCTTTTCATGCTTTATGGAACATGTTGGTATTGGTTAATGCATGAATGGAAATGTTTGGTCTCATATGTGTAATTAATGAAGTTCTACACTCGATTCAAATATAGTAAAAATTTGGTAACTGAATATGGATCAGATGACTAATATAGGAAATTGAAGGACATCTTGAATTCAATTACAAGTTATGAGACTAAGTGATATAGGGATAGACATTGGATATGCAATTTATAATCTATCTCATTTGATAAGGTATGTAAATACTTCGATTAGGTAAAATTATGAAATTACCCTTATGTTGGAAAATGACAAGAATTGTCTCTGGAGGTTGATTAATAAATCTGAAAAAACATATTAATCTGATAAAACTACTGATGTGCATAAGAAATGTTAGTTTTACTTGGAAAATTTGGATAACCGGTTTTTAACCCCAAGAGGGTTTAGGTAAGGTTCTAGAAGTCTGTTAAGGAATTATTTCAAGATCAGAGAATGTTCGGGGAAATAATTAATCATAGGATCTTTATATTATAATTATTTTTATTAAGAGTTAATACCGAAATTAATTGGTTAAGAAATTACGAAAATGCCCTTGAGTGGCAAATATAGTCAAAGTTGACCCTGAATTAGAAAATACTTTGAGGATTCGTATTTAACTCGATAAATTATGGATTTAAATGTTAAGGTTAAGTCTTTGTACAGAAAATTCATGATAATTTGATTGTGAAAATCTTCGAGTTAAGAATAAATTATTGAGGGTTCTCCTTTATAAGGATTGTTTGAAAGGATTGAAGTAAGTGATAAGATTAAATTAAATAATAAGATTGGATAGAAGGAAATGATTGAAATACATTGAATTTGTAAAATGACCAAAATACCCCTGTAATGGAAATGACTCAAGAATATCACCAAGCCCAGTAATAAATGGTTATCCTCAAGCATTAAAATGTATGGAAAAATATTGTGCACCAAAATGACCAAAATGCCCTTATGGACTAGACAAAGTAAATGTCTTGGATTAATTAAGGAATCCAAATAAACATGGGTGTTGTACTACCTTAAAAGTATGGAACACAACTAAGTGAGTCGATCAACCCTAATGATATATTAGTACCTAAACAACATATGTATCACTTGAATGCGTGTTCGTCTTCTCAAGTTTGGTTCGATGATAATTTTAGAAGTACTCAGTTCAACTCAACTCTAGATCACATTCGGTACTAAGAATTGAATATTCGTTAGACAAAACAACCATGAAGACCAATCTGAACTGAACGGAAGTACAATATGTATCCGAAATTTAGAAACGTCTGAATTACTCTGGAAAACCACGAAGAAACTAGAATGGACTTGACTGCTAAACGAGCTAAGTAATTTCAATGACTGAGGATTAAGTAAGTGATCTGGATAAGTCTGGAAACTCTGATGAGTTTACATGATGTACTATTCTTATGGGTCATGAACTACTAATCAAGTACATCAGTATTTCATGATATTGTGGAAGCGTGGAAATGAAATAAAGACCATTGGAAGATATATTCAGCGATGATTCTGAAGATGATCTGTGGACAAGAATTTATGGAATTAAAGAATAAATACCCCGGAAGGACACTGAATTGACCACTCAACAATCATTTGTTCTTGGAGCTATTCATCTAGAGTTGTTGGATTATTCGATCAATCGACATAGTGTAAAGGTTCTGAATCTTCGTTCTTTCTTATCATCCCAAATTACTCTGGTCATATTTGAAAAAACAAGTAACTCAAATGTAAAAGATTTTGAATACCCTTCTGATTACGTACAACTTCCGAAAAATGTCCGAATAAGATATAATCCTGATAATTTATATTCTGAATAACTGATGATTTTGTCAGTTAATAAACTCTTCCAATAGTGATTCTAATTTCTTACATTCTATCGGTAAACTGAAGATCTGTGTTTCTTTGCCTGATAAGATTATTCAGTATCTCTGGATAATATATGGAAACTCTAGTGTGTTCCCTAATCACATGAATGTTTTATCTAATTTCTGATTTGAATTATGTTCTAATTTCTGATTTGAATTATGTTATGATTTTTTATCTAAATTTTGTTCTGATTTCTAATCTGGATTCTGTTATGATATCTAATCTGAATTCTGTTTTGATTTCTGATATCTCCGTTTACTAAAGGAAAAATGTTTTAATTGGGGGGTTTATTGTTGGAGGAAGAATACTTACAGGTTCCTCGGCTGTGTGCTCAGGGCCTTGCTGTTGTGCAGGGGGTGTATGGTTATGGGGAATCTACACATTATGATGTGTTCGGCTAGGGGAATTTATTATGGTTTTTGATAAATGTTTTATTTGGGCTTTTATTGGAGGAAGTATATATGTAGGCTCCTCGGCTTTGTGCTCAGGGCCTTACTGTTGTGCAGGGGTTGTATGGTTTTGGGGAACCTACACATTATGTTGTATTCAGTTGAAGGGATAACTATGATTTTTGATAAATAAAAATATGTTTTTAAAAAGATTTGTATCTTTTCACTGGTTTTACGAGAACACACTAGATAACCTATTATGATCTCCTGAACTCAGTCATCCGAAATATTTCTCTAAATTGAAAGCTCATGTTCTATTATCACCTGAAATATCAGTAGTATATTCGCTCGATATAAAAATCTGTAGATGTCTGAACCAATAAGGAAATATATGTTTATATGTATATGCATGTTCTTCAGCATCATCTGGTAGTTATGTATTACTGAGCTTTCCAAAGCTCACTCTGTTATTCATCTTTTTAGGTTAAAAGAATTGTATTCTTACATCTATCAAATTCAGTAAGGGAGTTCTTCCGGCATTGCTTGCAGAGTATGGTACAACTGATTAGTGGGCATAAAATTGTATTTTATTTTAGATATACGAGTCTAAAAATTTGTTTTATTTTTGAATACTAATAAATGATTTTATGAGTTTACATGTTCTGATAAATGTTTAACATTTTTCCCTATTTTTACAGTGGGTCGCTCCGGTGGCCCTATTATGACACTCCAAATCGGATTGTGTTACCCGTATCGGTCTGACGAGGTTACATTTAGTGGTGTCAAAGCTATGGTTGAGTCAAATTTTTCAAGATAGACCGACCGGTCGAATTTCAAAAGATGTCTGATCAGTACATGCCCCTAGACTACAATCGTACTTCTCTAAGCCGAAACTCCAAGGTTGAGTCCCTATCTATAATGAGCAAACCTAAGTTTTCATCCGTTAGGACTATATCGTTTTATAAAAGAATACTTGTAACGTTTGTCTAAATTCTTTAAAGTACCACACGAGCCAGGTGAGAGTTACTCATCTGAGAAATTCTGACCTGACTCCATAAATGAAATTGGGATATGTTATCGCTCTATGGGCCTATTCTCGTTACCAATACTGAATTGATTCCACAAGGATAAATTTGTTATGATTCTTTTATTGGAATGAGGGAGAGTTCTGATGAGAATGTATACTCAGCTGGTTAAGGATTAGTAGAGGACACGTACTTTTGTAAAATCTACTTGAAGATATGAAAGAACTGATGGAATTTTCATTTCTGTAATTCTGTGACATAAATGAATTTCGAGACGAAATTCTTTTAAGGAGTGGAGAATTGTAACACCCAAATTTAGGGGCTAAAAATTTAGAAATTATAAATTATTGGATTTAATTTGGTATTTTAGAAGAAATTGAGGATGAAATTGTAAAATCGTAAGGTTAGCAGACCATTATAAGAAGTGTAGGAAATTCAGTGACTAAATTCATGGTTTACCCATTTTTATTTTAGAGAGAATTATAAACCCCTATTTCCCATATGTTTCTATAGATTTTTTTTCAGTTTTCCCTCCCCCTTTGACCCTCCTTTAATCTTTGATCTACTCACCATCCGATCACCGTTTGATGAACCGAAACCACTATCGTGTTCGTTGTCGAAAGATGAACAAAATCCCTCAAGCCTCTAGTCGAATCGACGTCATTCGTCGCTAATTTCAGTGGAAAGTATCGTCGGTTTTAACTCAATTTCTATTGGTTTTCCGTCGATTCACGTCAATCCGACCATCCGTTTTTGACACCTCCCGTACCATCATGTTCCTTGCATCATTCCGAGTCCACCGTTGTTCTCTGTTTCTTCGTCGTCGCCAGCGCGTGAAGGAGTAAAAAAGTTAAAGTTTTTGATGTTTCGGAATTGAGCTCTCCTCCGTTAAAAATTGTGAACCGAGCTTGGTAAGTGTCTCAAAATGCCTTAAAATATTTTTTAGTAAATTTTTCGGGAATTTTTAGACGCCCCAGAACTCTGCACGCGCCCCACGCTCCGCCCACTGCGCGTGGGAATAGTTTTGCGCAGGTAAATAATAAAAAACCAGTTTGACCGGTCCGACCCGACTGAACGACCTGACCGGTTGACCCGTTGACCGGCGTTGACTAGCGTTGACCACCGTTGACCAGAACTTTGACCGACCATTAAATGGTCGTTGACTTTTTTTGGGTATACATATTCTAACGTTTTTCGACGTCCTAAATTCGTTTTTGGGGTATGTTTTTCCAAATTTGAACTCGGTATGTTGTTTTCACTAATTTATCTTCCAATTTGATCCGTTTTTCAAAATTAAGACTCTTTTTTGATGAAATTTCTATTGTTATGTATTTGAGGAATTATTAGAAGTTGAATTAAAGATCGAGGGCATTCAAATGAAATTTTTATGATCGATCATTATGGCACAAAAATCGAGGTAATACATTACTACCTTTTCATACTTTATGGAACATGTTGGTATTGATAAATGCATGAATG